AGGCCTTTGTCGTCCTGCCAAACGCCACCCTGGCCTCGGCCTTCCTGCTGGACCTGGTAAGCACTGGGCACACCCCTGGGCCGCTGCTGTGCCCACTCACCTGGCATCCTGGATCCCTCTCTCCTAGGGGCCCAGGTGCATTGGTGCAGGGCTGGCATGGCCCCAGCTCTCTGGCTTGAGGGTTGTAGGGTGTTGGGGGAGGGCTGGTGTCCCGCGCTCTGGAGCTGGGATTCTGGGGGGTGGGGCAGAGGGGCATGGATATTGTGGGGCCTCCGGGGCCACATTTTAGCTGCTGTTGCTGATAACAAGAATCGTCTCACTTTGTTGGCAGGATGCCAGCCTGGCGGCGCAGCTGCATCTCGACTCAGCCAAGGTCGGGGGCTCCGTGGCTCTAACTAAGTGAGTCTGGGGCTTGTCTGGAGCCTCCCCTCCCCTTCCCACAAATGTCCCAGCCAGGGGCCCACGCCCATGAGAGGTTATATCCCCTGGAGTTTATAACCCAGTCCTGGCCCCTCTCTGGGATTTACATCCCAGCTGGACACCCCACCTCCAGGGGCTTATGTCTCAGCCCTGGGGATCCCCTTCCAGCTGGGAGCCCCACTCTACCCCCACTCCTCCCAGGACTGATAGCCATCCAGCGAGAAACCCAACTCAGAGCCCTCCCAGCAGCGCTGCATCTCCTGAGCTCAGCCTCCCCTTCGGTGCCCGGCCTGGCTCCATGGGACACTGTGAGCCACTACCGCTGTGGGGAGACCCCGCTCAGCTCTGACCTTTGTCTCTGTGTCTCCAACAGCTTCAGCATGTCTGTGGTGCGGTCCCACATAGGCTCGGTCCAGGTGAGCCATGCCAGCGGCAGGGCTGGGAGGGCGGCAGGGAAGGGCAGGACAAGGAGGTTTCCAGGGGCCTAAATCCTCAAGGGCGCCTCACATTGTGCACAGCCCTTGCTCAGGCAAAGCTGCCCCGGCACTGCAAGGGGAGACTGGCCTGAGGACCGCGGAGCGCTGAGCTCCGACTGCAAGTGTCAGATAACAGCTGCCAAGCAGATCCCAGGCAGCAGTGCAGCCAGAGTGCGATGCACTGGGCGTGTGGACCACCAACAGACCCTGGTCATCAGCTAGAAGCAGGAGCCTCTTCTGCATGAGCTAAAAGCCCTATGGCCCTCAGCTAAGGCTGCCGTAGATTAATTAATCTCCACGTGGTCTTGGTGCCGCTCGATGGGACCGAACACCACACCCAGGAAGTGTGTGAGTTACACTTGTGCACACAGGATACACACACATGCATACTTGAAGCCTGTCACTCACATTTGCGTGACACCCACTCCCACATACACTCATCCACAGCCTGTCACCCTCCCTCCTATAGTCGCTTTCACTCACATACAGTCTCTCCTTTCCCTTGTTCCCACACTTACCCTCGCACCGTCAGCACCCCACGCCTGGCCCTTGCACACACAGCTCCTCCCCTGCACTGCCCAGCTGGGTCACATGGTGTCCCCCCAGCACATAGACAGCTCCTGTGCCCCCTGGTCCACACAGACTGAGGAGCAGAGGGCACGGCCCCGCCGGCCCCAGGGAGCCAGGCTCTGCCCCGCGCCCCGCACGGCCCTATCGGCCCCAGGGAGCCAGGCTCTGACCCGCGCCCCACACGGCCCTGTCGGCCCCAGGGAGCCAGGCTCTGACCCGCGCCCCGCATGGCCCTGTCGGCCCCAGGGAGCCAGGCTCTGACCCGCGCCCCGCATGGCCCTGCCGGCCCCAGGGAGCCAGGCTCTGACCCGCGCCCCGCATGGCCCTGCCGGCCCCAGGGAGCCAGGCTCTGCCCTGCGTCCCGCACGGCCCTGCTGGCCCCAGGGAGCCAGGCTCTGCCCCATACCAGCTCTCACCAGCTGGCTTTGTGTTCTGCAGGTGAAGACTCTGGAGACCCTGCTGAAGCTTGCGCTGCGGATGGTTGCATTGCCAATGGCAAACAGTAAGTCCTGCCGCATTTCCCCACCCTGTTTCCTTGCTCTTGGGGTAGCAGTCCCCATCCTGGCCACCCTCGGGCTCTGGGTCCTCCCCCCTAACCAGGGCTCCTTTCGTCTCCCCAGAGAAGCTGAAGAAAGGATTCCCCCTGCCCAGCGTCTATAATGTCAGCCTGGTGAATCCCCGTGTCAAAATCAACCAGGTAGGGATCAGCCATGGCCTTGGCTCCATGTCGTACCCAGTGTCTGCACTGGGAACCCCCAAGCCCTTGGCCAGGGGTACCTTTTCAGACTGCACAGGGGAGGGGGAGCATCTTTGACCGTGATTCCAGGGGCTACCTGAAAACTCTAGTATTTTTTGGCAGACAACTTAGCAATTATCTGGCAGAGCACTGTTTCTAATTCCTATATAAAAGAAAGAAAAATAAATAAATATTAGCCCCACTCACCTCTAATACCAACATGTTCTGACATCTTGTGGCAAGTCACTTAAGGGATACTGGTTAGGTTTAAAATTTTAATGTATATTCTTACTTTGTTACTAACTCTGCAGGGACAGAGACCCCATCAGGACTCCTGGGTTCTACCTCAGCTCTGGGAGGGGAGTGGGGTCTAGTGAGTTACAGCAGGGGGAAGATACATCTGGGTTCTATATAAGAACATCAGAATGGCCAGACTGGGTGAGACCAAAGGTCCATCTAGCCCAGTATCCTGTCTTCCGATAGTGGCCAGTGCCAGGTGCCCCAGAGGGAATGAACGGAACAGGAAGTCACCAAGTGACCCATCCCCTGTCCCCCATTCCCAGCTTCTGGCAGACAGAGGCAAGGGTCACGCAGAGCATGATGTTGGATCCCTGCCCACCCTGGCTAATAGCCATTGATGCCTGTCCTCCAGGAACATATCTAGGTCTTATTGGGAAACAATGGTATAGTTTTGGCCTTCACAACATCCCCTGGCAAAGAATTCTACCAGTTGACTGTGAAGACATACTTCCTTTTGTTTGTTTTAAATCTGCTGCCTGTTATTTTCACTTGGGTGACCCCTGGTTCTTGTGTTATGTGAAGGAGTAAATAACACTTCCTTATTTACTTTCTCCACACCAGGCATGATTTTGTTAGACCTCTATCATATCCCCCTTAGTTGTCTCTTTTCCAAGCTGAAAAGTCCCCGTCTTACTAATCGCTCCTCATACGTGTGTACCATACCCCTAATCTGTTCTGTTGCTCTTCTCTGTACCTTTTCCAAATCCAGTGTATCTTTTTTGAGATGCGGCGACCACATCTGCACGCAGTATTCCAGATGTGGGTGTACCTCTCTCCATTCTCCCCATTTATTCCTATCTTTTGTTTCCTGTTTTAACTCGAGTGCCTGGCAGTGCTTTCAGGATCATCTAATGATCCTTAATTTAATTTAATGACAAGCCTTTTGTAATCTTAATCACCCTGCCTCTGTTTGTAAACAAACTCCCTGCTCCAAAGGCAGAGGCTGGCAGCAGCACAGAACTCATCACATGGCCGTTCTGAGGTCCAGCTGGGGCTAGAATGTGTGCTGTGAGCAGACCTCAGGTACAAAACTCGGGGGGGAAGGAACTAGCGCTCCTCTGCCCCCCCAAATGGTGCCCCTGGCCTTGGGTCTTGCAGGGGCCTTGCTCACACCTACCCCAGCAGCGACCCCTGCTGGGGGGTCTGTGAGCCCATATGGCCAGTGCTTCTACACCAGCCGTGAAACAACCCCACAGCGCTGTCATGAAACACGGACGGACTCTCATCCTGCCATTTTGTCTTCCCAGGGGTTTGTGTTGGTAGCTACAGATGTGCAGTACAAGGCTTGAGCTGCCGGGGCTGGGTAGCCCCCCTTGGAGAGAGCCGCTGCCCAACAGGAGAACGTGCAACCCCCCATGGCTCCCCTCGCCCCCTGCATCCTGCTGCTGCCGACCCTGGAGCTGGCCTGGAGACCAGGGCCAGAGGGGGGGATTTTGTGTCACTTTAAGTAAAACTGAATTTTTGATGCACTCAGTCTTGTCATGTTAAAGCCTCCCCTCTGACCCTCCCCCTCCAGCAGTCCCCAATTTGCTCCAGATCTTCCCCTCCCCACAGAGACGTTCCAGTCCCCCTAGCCCTGAGCCCGCATCGCTGATCCGCCTGCTGTCTGGAGGGGACGGGGAGAGACAGCTTTAAGCCCCCTTTGCACCTCCCTGTTCTGGGGCTGGCCCCTACACAGGGCAGCCCCTGGGCTGCTCTAACTCACGCTAGGCTGGCTACAGTCACCAGGGGCCTACAGTGTTGTGCCTCTCCATCCATACCCCCATCTCCCCAGCCCTGCCTGCCGCACATCCCTTCTGTCAGGGGCTGCACAGGAAGGGAGCCTAGAGCCACTGAGCCAGGGGTGGGTGGGTGAGCAACACGCAGACCCCTGCTGTACCTAAGCAGCAGGATTTCTGGAGCATGCTGTCCAGGGGCCCCGCACATCCCCTGGAGCTGGGGGTACAATGGGTACGGCCACCAGGGAGTGTGGGACGCCCCCCCCCCCCACAGCATAGCACACAGCACTCCCTCACGCGGGGCCCGGGGCCCAGGCCCCTCTCATGCATCCTGGGGCGACAGCAGGGCCGTGGGAAGACGGGAACATTGGCCTGCAGCTGTGCTCAGGGCTGGGGCCCAAGCCGCACACAGGGTCACAGGTCACCAGCCTGCAACGGCCCCAGCACCGTGGCTGCCTGCATCAGGCTCAGGAGCCAGCGGGCTGCAGACCAGTGGCTCCAGCCCCCCCCCCCTTCCTCCCCTGCCTGAGCCTGCCTGCGTCAGGGACTCTTACAGCGTCTCCGGCTCTGGGGGGGTGTCTGTCTGGGAACTGGCCCCCTGCCAGCTTGCTGGAGGGATCCATTCCAGCCCACACAGTCCTGCCTCCAAAGTACTCGGCCGTGAGGGCTCTGGGTGGGAGGGGGAGCATGGGGGTTGAGCAGCTGGATTTCTGGGTGCCCCCTCGGAGGCTGCGCGCTGGCAGGCGGCGGGGGGCCCTGCAGGGTGGTATGTTCTCCCACAATCCCACGTCTGTGCAGCTGAGTTGTTCTAGAATAAGAGTCCTGCTGGCCTGGGCAGTGTGTGCTGGCCCCATGCCCAGAACCCTGCACAAGCTGCACATCGGGGACGCCTGTTGCCTCCATTTCCCAGCTGGCTGCTGCCCGCCCTGCCTCGTCCTGCAGTAAGTACACACGGCCCTGCGTGCTCTGGTGCCGACCGAGGCAGCCGGAGGCCCAGCGACCCGGCACTGTCCTCACGTGTGAGGCCGGGGGCTGCAGGATTTCGGGGCTGGGCCGCGAACGGAGGGGGCCGGATGGTTCTTGGGGCAGGGACGCCGAGCTGCTGCCTCTGGTCTAGCTGCACCTTGGAGAGCGGCCTGGCCCCCACCCGCTGCAGAGGGCGACGGGCAGCTTTCACCCACGCTGGCTCGGGTGGAAATCGCCTGCAAAGTGCCTGGCCCCCTTCCCCATGCGCGCGAGGGGCCGATTCTGGCGGAGGGAGACGGGCTGGTCCCTAAGGCAGGAGCGGGGCAGTATCTAATGCCACAGGACTGAAGGGGCGTCCCAGGCTCCCCCTACACGCCTGGCATTTTGGGGGGGGGGGAGGGGGAAATCCCTTCGGCTCTGACATCAGTGTCTAGTGCACTTGGGTGACCCCCCACCCCCGGCCGCCCCCCTCAGGGGGGAGCAGCCCCAGTTCCCACTGCCCCCAATGTTGGCCAAGGGCTGGGGGCCTTTGTACCATACCTGCGGGCCCGTCCCTGTACCTTTGCCCGTGTGATTTAGCCGTGTCCTGCTAGTAGAGGTCAGACAGGACGGGGCCCTGCCAAGTCCCAGTTGCCTTATTTAGACCGTGGAGACCGAGGCAGCTGTGACGCCCCGAGCTGAAGGGCACAGAGCCCTCCCCGGGGCTGGGCACTGAGCAGCGAGTGCCCAGGTTCTGCAGCGTGGGGGCCATAGGCATGGCCAGTGCCAGGCTGGCATCGCAGGGTGGGCTGCCATTAGAGGTAGGGCTGCCACCGCTGAGCTACAAAGAACCCGGGATCGTCGGGTGCCCATGCAACCGGCCAGCTGGCAGCATGCGCTGAGCCGGCTGGCACACTGCCCAGCACAGCTCCCTCGACCCAGGGACGAGCCTGGGGAAACCTGGCCAGGTGGCACCCCTCAAGGCTGCTGACCCCACAGCAGGCAGGCCTGTGCTCCTGCCCGCCCACCGGGGGCGCGAGGACAGCAGCTGCGCTCCTGGGCCCCGGGAGCTGGAGCAGAGGCTGGTGCTAGCAGGGGAGAAAGCTGGAGGCAGAGCGGCCTGGTACGTAACAGGAGAATGAGTCTGGTCAGGCCCGGGCTGGAGCGGCTTGCAATGAAGGCGACACCTGCCTTGCACGCCCGGCGCGTGCAGCCAGCCGGGAAGGCCACTCGCGGGCTGGGCCTGGGACGCGCTGTTCTGGCACTGCGGGGACCAGGAGCAGGGACGCTCCGGCAGCCTTCCTCCAAGCCTCGACGGGCCCCTCCCAAATGCCAGTGCTCCCAACACCCCCACTCAGGTCTTGCAGGTGGGGAAACTGAGGCACGGGGGGGGGGCGTGCCTGGCCCCATGTCACCCAAGGAGTCAGTGGCAGAGCCAGGAACAGAACCCAGGTACCTGTGCCAGCTCCCAGGGCTGCTGCTCGTGCCTTTGCCCCCTGGAAGCGGGTTCGGGATACAGTCCTGCCTCTTTCCAGAGCAGAGTTACCTGAGACGGGATCCTCCGCCCCTCCACTCTGGGGACCAGGCCTCTGGAGCTACCTGTGCTGGGGAGGGCCGGCCAGCCCCAGGGACGGTCCCTCCCTCCCCTGCCACCAGGGGCACCAAGCGATTTGAGCCAGCTGGGCTCTGCAGCCCCCAGCCTTTCACCATGAGCCTGATGCTGCCATGGGGGAGGGGAGGGACATGAGCGCGGGGTCAGTCCACGGGGTGCTGGGGACACTGACCAGCCAGGCTCCCGACCGCTGCCAATCGGCCGGCACTGGGGAGCAAAGGCTGGCCTTCGCTACGTACGGCCTGCTGGGGACAGCCCACGCGCGGCTAAAAGCTGTGGCGGCAGGATGCTGGGTGAGGAGATCGTGGATTCGAGCCAGACTGCGGGGTTCTCCTGGGTGAGGGGCTGCCGGTGCGGGTCCTTGGGGTGCAGCTGGGTGGTGCTCTAGTCTCCCACCTTGTACGGCACAGCACAGCCCACCCTCGTGACAGAGGTCCCCATGCTTTGATCCCACAGATGCTCTCGCTGCCGGCCCTGCGCGTGGGCACCCTGGCCAGGAGAGGAGTCCTGGGCACTGCCAGCATCAGAGCAGCACATGGCCATAGCGGACATGGTAAGAGCCATTCCCTTGCCGAACGCCCCTGCAAGCCAGCTCTGGGGGCCCAGGGGAGCCAGTGGAGACTCTGACGGTCACCTCCTGCCTTTCTCTGGGGGCAGTGGCAGGGGCAGCCTCACGGGCTCTGTTTTCCATGTCAGGCAGAGGAGGGAGACGGGTGCTGGAGCTGCGGCTCCAGCTGAGCTCCCTCCGGAGGGCTGCGTAAGCAGCCTTGCACGCGCCCTGGGGAACCGTGGATCTCCGCAGTGCAGGCCGACCCGCTTTGCAGTCTGCCTCCAGCCGGGGCTGCTGGCCCTTTGGAGGCAAAAACTCCTGGCTTCAGTCCCGACACTGCAGTTAAACCCCTGCGGCTGGCTCAGATCAGCTAACTCGAGCTGGCAGGGCTCAGCCTGCAGGACTGTGAAACTGCGGAGCTCAGGCAGGAGGCTGGGCTCTCCGACCCAACATTGCCCGCACAGCCGGAGCCCGAACAGCTACGCTGCAATTGTACAGCCCTGCAGCCCAAGCCCTGCGCCCCGGAGTCTGCTGACCTAGGCCACATGCAGGTGTGTTGTTTGGTGCAGACCCAATTATTCCCAGTAATACCCTGAGGGGCCAACTCTACACTTCGGGGAACAGGGAGTGGATTCCTTCCTGATCCCTGCATGCAAACTGCTTCCACCCTGGAGCATGGGACTTGGTGCCTCTAACCTGGCACTTACCCAGCATCAGTATTCTCTAGGCCGCAGAGCACTGCACAAGGACTACATGGGTGAACTGTAGCCTGAATAACTGAACATTTTGCTCATAAAATGACTCAATTCTCTCTCAAGGCCTGCTCCGGTCTGAGGCCGATGTGCCCCAGGGCTCAGCCCACCAGACCTGGAGGAACTCCTGGCCCTATTGAAGTCCTTGGGGGTTTTGCCTCTGACATCAATGGGGCCAGAATTTCAGCCCAGTGGCTGGAGCTCTTCGTCAGTTCTCCTACGGCAGATATTTGCTTGCTCAAAAGTGCTCATATTGCAGCTGCTTGTGATTCTTTCTCCCGTAGGGATGGGGCTACTTGCTAACTTCCTGGCTATCACAGTGTCCTGGTTCCGTTTAGCCCCGTGGGACCTAGCGAATAGAACAAACTCGGGGGTGTAGTGCTGGGGAAGGCCCCTGACTGGTAACCGGCGAGACGGGATGTATAAAGTGGGCCTGGAAAGACAGTAGGCTTTACTCTTCTTCTCCTTTCTGCATCTTTTTACATTAGAAATTAGGGTCCTATGTGGCCAAGAAGACTGAGTGGAGAAATGAGGCCACCCCAAGAATGAAAGTTGAGCAACTCTGCAGGATTGGGCTTTTTAGTCAGACTGCATCAAACGATAAGCACACATTTAACTTCAGTGCGTAACTCACGCTTGGGAGAAAGGACGTCTTTGTTAAAGATTCAATTAAGGTGTGAGCACTTGCCCAACACATCCTTTAACACTACCCGCAAACTCAGGGAAAATCACAGGTCATCTACTCCAGTCCGCTGTGCTGAGGCAGGACTAGGTATTATCTAGACCGTCTCTGACAGGTGTTTGTCCAACCTGCTCTTAAAAATCCCCAATGATGGAGATTCCACAACCGCCGTTGGTAATTTGTTTTGAGTGCTTAACTACGCTGACAGGTAGGAAGTTTTTCATGATGTGTAACCTAAATCTCTCTTGCTGTAATTCAAGCCCATTATTTCTTGTCCTGTCCTCAGTGGTTAAGGAGAACAATTTATTACCCTCCTCCTTGTAACAAGCTTTTATGTACTTGAAACTTGCTGTTATCATGTGCTCCTTCGCTCTTCTTTCTCTGGACTAAGCAAACCCAATTTTTTCAATCTTCCTTCATCTGCCATGTTTTCCTTTAATTGTTTTTGTTGTTCTCCACTGGACTGTCTTCAATATGTCCACATCTTTCCCGAAGTGTGGTGCCCAGAATTGGACACAATACTCCAGTTGAGGCCTTACCAGTGCTGAGCAGAGCGGAAGAATTACTTCTCGTATCTTGCTTACAACATAACACATCCCAGAATGGGTTTTGCAACTGTATCATACTGTAACTCATATTTACCTTGTGATCCCTATGACCCCAGATTTTTCTGCAGTACTCCTTCCTAGGCAGTCATTTCCCATTTTGTATTTGTGCAAATTGCTTATTCCTTAAGCGTAGTACTTTGTATTTGTCCTTATTGAATTTCATCCTATTTATTTCAGACCATTTCTCCAGTTTGTCCAGATCAGTTTGAATTCTAATCCTGTTCTACAAATGGCTCGCAACCCCTCCCAGTTGGGTATCATCCACAAACTTTATAAGTGTACTCTCGATGCCATTATCCAAGTCATAGATGAAGATATTGAACAGAACCAGACCCAGGACAGATCCCCGAGGGACCCCACTCGATCTGCCCTTCCAGCCTGAATGCAAACCATTGATAACTATTCTCCAAGTACAATTTTCTAAGCAGTTTTGCACCCGCCTTACAGCAGGTCCATCTAGGCTGTATTTCTCTAGTTAGTTTATGAGATGGTCACGTGAGACAGTATCAAAAGCCTCACTAAAGTCAAACTATATCACAGCTGCTGCCTTCCTCCTATTCACAAGGACTGTTACCTGTCAAAGAAGGATATTAGGTTGATTTGACATGATTTGTTTGTGACAAAAACATATTGACTGTCACCGTATTTCCTTCTAGGTGCTTACAGATTGATTGATTGATTGCTCCATTATCTTTCTGGCACTGAAGTTAAACTGACTGGTCTATAATTCCCCGGGTTGTCCTTGTTCCTCTTTTTATGCCCTTTTCATAGAATCATAGAATATAAGGGTTGGAAGGGACCCCAGAAGGTCATCTAGTCCAACCCCCTGCTCAAAGCAGGACCAATTCCCAGTTAAATTTTCCAGTCCTCTGGGTTCTCTGCCATCCCCCACAAGTTCTCAGAGATAACTGCTAATGGCTCAGAGATCTCTTCAGCCAATTCCTTGAGTATGCTAGGATGCATTTCATCAGGTCCTGCTGACTTGAAGACATCTAACGTGTTTAAGTAATTCTTAACTTGTTCTTTTTGTATTTTAGTTTCAGATCCCACCCCACTTACCCTGATGTTCGCTAGGTTAGTCGTCCGATCACTGCTAACTTGTATGGTGAAAACCGAAACAAAAAGGGCATTTAACGCTTCGGCCAATGCTGCGTTTTTGTTATTGTCTCCCCCCACTCCTCCAATCCTTGGGTACTCCTGAAATCACCAGGGTAAAAAAAAAAAAAGACAACAAATGTTAAACGCCTTGTAGCCACGCCTCTCAGCCTGCTCTCCCTCCATCAACAAGTGGAAATTAGCCGCAAGCCCAATTCTCAGTCCCATGCTGGCCACCTGCAGCACCTTTCAAGTGCTATTCCCAGTTTATCCACAAGATGGCACCAGTGCCCGTTTCCCACAAACAGCTCCTTGTTTTACCCTTTTCAGAGTAGCCGCCGAGTTAGTCTGTATCCGCAAAAAGAACAGGAGGACTTCTGGCACCTTAGAGACTAACCCATTTATTTGAGCATGAGCTTTCATGAGCTACAGCTCACTTCATCGGATGCATGCAGTGGAAAATACAGTGGGGAGATTTTATATACACAGAGAACATGAAACAATGGGTGTCACCATACAGACTGTTCCAGCAGTTGACAAGGTGTGAGGAACAGTGGAGGGGAAATATAAATGGCCCACCTTGATTATCACTACAAAAGGGTGTTTTTTTCCCTCCTGCTGGAAATAGCTCACCTTAACTGATCACTCTCGTTCCAGGGTTCAGAGGAGCAGCCGTGTCACTCTGTATCCGCAAAAAGAACAGGAGGACTTGTGGCACCTTAGAGACGAACACATTTATTTGAGCATGAGCTTTCGTGAGCTTCATGCATCCGATGAAGTGAGCTGTAGCTCACGAAAGCTTATGCTCAGATAAATGTGTTCGTCTCTAAGGTGCCACAAGACCTGTTCTCTTCTCGTCACAGTCTGTATGGTGACACCCATTGTTTCATGTTCTCTGTGTACATAAATCTCCTCACTGTATTTTCCACGGTATGCATCCGATGAAGTGAGCTGTAGCTCACGAAAGCTCATGCTCAAATAAATTGGTTAGTCTCTAAGGTGCCACAAGTCCTCCTGTTCTTTTTGTTTTACCCTGTTAACCCCTTAGGCCCTGCCCCATTAACTAGTTGCTGTGTGTATCTTGCTCAGCTGGAGCATGGAGATAAGACTGGTCAAGTTCCCTGTAGAGCCCTGGGCCGGAGCTGAGGTCACGCTGGTCAGACCCTGTACAGATGGACGCTCCTGCCCGGCTGGCCTTCCTACGGCACTGAGGAATGGGGGGCCTTCGAAGAAGAGGGGTCAGGGCACTGGGGGCAGCGGTGGGGATGTGCTGGGGCTTTTCTGAGGCCAGTCTCTGCCATCTCGCTCTCCAGTGGCGACTCAAGAGGACATGTCGGTGCCTCGGTACTACGACAAGCGCAGCTCCCCGCTCCCCGACGTCCCTTACTGCAAGGAGCTGGGCGCGGAGCAGAAGGCCCTGAAGGAGAAGGAGAAGGGATCATGGAAGCAGCTAAGCAACGAGGAGAAAGTGGCCCGTAAGCAGGAGGGGGCGGAAGCCCTGTTGCTGGGGTGGGAACGGGAGAGTGGGGAGGTCATGGCACCAGTAGGGGGATAGTCTGGTCAGTTACCTCCCCCCATCCTCTCTGCACAGCGTCCAGCTTCTGCTTGTGGGCTGGGGGGCTGCCTGGGGACCGAGCAGGCCTGCGTCTGGGACACAGCGGTGGAGGGACAGGAAGTGCTGCAGGACCCAGGGAACTGGGCGGGCCAGGGCCTCGGAAGCCAGTGAGTGTCCTGGATCGGTTAGGGGCGGGAGAGCCTGGTCTAGTCCTACAGGCCCTAGCCTGGCTGAGGGGCTTTGTGAATGTGCTGGGAACTGGGGCCTGGGGTCCGCTTACAGAGTATGTGCAGGGTGAATACCCCATGCCCCATTCTGGCTGAGGGACGGAGGTGCTGGGCTATTCAGGAGCGTTCCAATCAGCTAAACCGTTGCACACACAGACATCATAACCACACCTCTCCTGACCATGGTATTAGAGATCTCCCCAGCCCAGCATTACTGTAGGTCTGCTTCATTTAAAGGAAGGAAACTTGCACCATCCATTGTCTTTGAGTGTGCGATTACTGAGGAACATCCCTGGGCTCCCTCATGGTCTGTACCTGGAGCCCTGGGCTTCTGGCGTTGGCTGAGATCAGCACTGGCATATGCAGAGTTGGATTCCCCCCAGATATCCCTAGCTCTGAGCCCCATCCTGCCAGCTGCAGCCTCCCCAACCCTGCTGACTTCAGCTGGAGCAAAGGGTGCCAAGCATCTGGCAGGGTCAGGCTCCAGTCATCAGAGCTCCCACATATGCCAGGCCTCCAGTTGGTGATCAAACCCAGTGCCAGTGGAAATTTTAACCCAGGTGTTTAAGTTGCTGAGGCCCAAAAGCCTCTGAAAAGTCAGAGCCAGGGAGTGGCTCCCTACCCTTCCACTACCAATCTCCTTGTAACTTGCATTCTCCACTCAGCCATTAGTTGACATACCAGGTATACCAGCTGGTGTAATGCCTTAAATACGCTGCTCCCCCAGCTGGAGTGTCTGCCAGGGAAGATGCTGTGTCACCCCAGAATTCTTGATCACAAGAGGAGCAAGACAAAGCCAGCCAGCAGTTTATCGATAGCGCTTTGTCCTGAGCAGGCAGCAGCCGAACAGTTAAATCTGTTCCAGGTCAATGAATCTAGTCACTGGGGAGTGAGCAAATATTGCACCCGCCTGCATCTGAGCTAGCCCAAGGAAGCTCTGTGCACATGACAACCTGCTGGCAACCCCTGTTTAACTGGCCTTTTACACCGGGACAAAACTTACAACCAAGAGCGTGGAAACACTAAACCCCAGCCCCACCCCAAATCTGCGTGAAATACACAGGCTTCCTCGGTTAGATAGGAACCAGGGGTGGCTGAAGGGCTGGAAGTGTGGAAAGAGAATCAACCACATAGATGGATGCACATAGCCACAAAGGGCTGATACGTCGGCTGGGTAACAGCGGTAACCATGAACTGGGCTCTGTCCTGACCAGACTCTGCCTCCTCAGCATGGCTGTTAAATGTACAGAGAAAGCTGTTTACAGCCGGGCAAAGCAACTTCCAGGGTCTTCCCTCCCGTATGCTGGTTCCCTACACCATGGAGAACTTAACCCTGGCCTTGGTGTTCTCAAGCATGTCAGTGCCTTAGAAATGCTAATGAATGGGCCCTGGAAAGCATCATCACCACTGCAAAGAAGCTGCAGGGAGGGGTGAAATTACTTACCTGATGTCAGATAGCCTGTAGGTGGCAGAGCCCAGCTCTTCTGCTCCCAGACCATGACCCATCCACTGCAGCCCACTCCATCTCCCTCTTGTCAGCATGGTTCTACCACCGTTTCCCTGGTCCAGGTGCAGACGGGTTTGTCTCTAACACCATCATATAGACTCTCCACGGTGCGTCTCCCATACAAAAACTCATCCTGTTTTCAAGCACTGGGCCAGTTTCACCTTTGCTGCCCTCAGCAGTGGCACTAGTGTAGATGGGCCCTGCTGGCCTCTCCACCATGGTGCTTAACCCTGCTCAGAACAGTGCGAGATGAAGAGACCCCCAACCCCTGGCTCCACCATTGGAGCTGCTCAATGCTGACAGGAGAACTCCCCAAAACAGACTGCTGCGCGTGGGGCTTCATGCTTACCCTACTGGAAGCAGGAGCTGCCCCATTTTTGGGCCATCACAGACGGACGGCCTTGGAAAGCAGACATCTCTGCATTTGCCAAGCAGCAGGAGCCGTTATCCTGGGACAGCCCCTGCAATTTCAGCACTCTTCCCATCTGGATTCATGGTCTAAAAGCTTAAACCATGTCTCTAACCTGCCTGTTAACTGCTGTCCAAGTTCTGCAGGAGCAGGCCTGACAATCCATAGACAGCTCCCAGGAGGAAAGGCAGGATGGGACATGCAAGGGACGGGGGCTTGGCCCCAGGAATAGCCTGTGGGAGCAGCAGATGGAATGAAGGGGGCAGAGGGGGCTCAGAGGTTAGCAGCCCCCACAAAGCCTTTGCCAGAACTGTCTGTAGTTCCCTTTACAGACGGGATCTGGAGGCAACCTCTGGGCTGCAATGGCTGTGCTAACATGATCTCTCAAGCAGCCCCCGGGGTGGGTTAGCGGAACGGCTGTCAGAGAGGGCTGGGGTTCTCTGTGCCACCCTAGCCTCGTGCCTGTCTCTCTAGTCTATCACCTGAAGTTCAACCAGACCTTCGCACAGATGAACAGGCCATCCAACGAATGGAAGACGGTGCTAGGAGGCATGTTCGTATTCTTTGGCTTCACTGGATTAATCGTGTGGTGGCAGCGAGTCTATGGTAAGGGGGGATGGACCATATGCTTGTAGGACAACCTGTGGGAAGGCAAACGGGACATGGCTGGGAGGCTGTAGTGACTTAATCTACTGCCTATGTAGAGGCTCCCCCTTCAAACCCCCCCCCCCAATAATTCTGTTCTAGGGGTGTCCCCATGTTCTGCTGCCCAGAACTTCCTGCCCCAGCCTGAGCTGGGATTTGTTAGACACGTCATTCGAAACCTGGCTCTGCTGCCAACCAGGCCTGGACCTGCAACTGGCCACGTGCTCAGGACTGGGATGGGGCAAGTACTAGCAGGGCATGGAACTGGCTGGGGACTGAGGCCCTGGCTTCTGGCACTGGGCATAAAGGGGCTGGAGATGGCGAAGCAGAGCTCGGCGGGCATGCCCTGGAGCGGGTCTGCTCTTAACCCTGCTCAGCCCAGGCCCTCTAGAGAACTGACAGCTAGACCCAGCTGGGGCATTGGTCCTCAGATCCCCTGAAAACCCCCTCTGCACTCACCCCCCCGGTGCACACAGGCTGCAAGAGCCTGGAGGTTTTCTAAGAACCTTCTTTAAAACGGCACCAGGGCCAAACAAACCGCCACAAATATTCTCCCTCAAACCCTTCCCTGGGGAAGCAGCCTGCAATGTAAGCCACCATTCAGCCGGCAGAGGGGGCCTGAGCCAGCAACTCCTAGGAGAGGCCTCTGGCCGCCCGCTGCCCTCAGACCACCGGGCAGTAAACAAGCCTGAGCCAGGCCAGCTTGTGCTTCTTGCTGAGGAGGGGCCAGAGGCGGGAGAGGGGCGAGCAGGGGACGGGTGCTGGGCTGGCCTGGTGCCCACGTAATGCCATGGAGTCAGCGACGGTCCCCAGCCCAGCCTGGCCGTGAATGGGGAGGGAAAGGGCGTGGGGGGAGGAGCACAAAGCTGCCCGTGAAATCGATGGGAGCCACCTGCGGCTGGAGCCTGGCCGAGTGCGGCCTAAGGCTTCGGCCAGGATGATCCTCACGCCCCGGTGGGAGGGGAGATGGGGAATAACCTGGCCACGGCCCTGGTACGTCGGGTGGAGAAGCAGGCAGGCTGGGTCCTGAACAAACCGGTGCTCTAAGCTCTCCCCTGCCCGTGTCCCCAGTGTTCCCCCCGAAGCCGCACACCCTGACGGAGGAGTGGAAGGCTCAGCAGGTCAAGAGGATGCTGGACATGCGCATGAACCCCATTCAGGGCTTCTCCGCCAAGTGGGATTACGACAAGAACGAGTGGAAGAAGTAGAGGAGACCCTCTCCACCCTCACGGACCCCCCCAGCCCAGGAAGGGGCCAGCGCTCTGGGGGAGAGCTGCTGGAGCAAAGCCACTCTTGCCTCTCTCCCCTACCCTCATCCTTTGCTGGGCTGCCAGCCCCACCCGACCCCCTTGTGCCTTGTCTGAAGCTCTCCCTCTCCTGGTCCTGGGCAGTGAGCTGGCTCCAGTCTGTGCACCGCTCCTCCCGGTCCCACTGGGGGATCTGTCCCGTGGCCTGGCCTATCTCTGGTGAAGGAGCATTTGGCATTGTCCATTCCCTGCTCACATGGAATAAAACACTACAGTAAATCCACAGTGTGCAGCTTCCGTCTTGTACCTGCCAAAGGGGAGGGGAGGGGAGACCCACTGTTCTCAGCCCCCTCAGAGCCATCCGCTCCTGTCCCCCAAGGTACAGCTAGGAACCATTCAAACTTGCGCTGTTCCTTAAAGCATCACCTGGCCCACAGCAGGCCTACTGTCCTCTTGAGTTACTCGGGTTAAAAGGCTCTTCTCCCTTCCCCGATCTCCAGTTCTTACCTGCTGGGAGGCAGAGATCCAGGCCTGTGTACATGTACACAGAGGAGCCAGCCAGGGTGGGACCCCAGCCATGGGCACTGCAAGAACCCCAGGGCTCATGGGAGCATTTTAATGGAGTTCTGGGAGCCCAGACAGCTCCGTTCCGTCTCCATGCACCCAGCCTGTGCAGCAGCATCGGGCTCAGGCCTTACCCTTGCAGGCCGCTCCAGGTGAATCTCTGCAAGTGCGGATCATTCATTTAGCACATCACAGGACACATCTTCAGAGCTCCCTGCCAGCAATCCTTGTGGCTCTGGAGCAGGGCGAAACCTACGGGGCTTCTGCCTCTGTGCCCAATGGGAATAAGTGACTCACCTGAGGCAACGAAGGGCCAGAACAGCTATTGGAACACAGGCATCTTTAGCTCCCAGTGCTGGGCTCTGGCAAACCTCCTGGTTCACAGAGGGAGGTAGGGCCACCCGGGCACCGCTAACCACTACCTCGGCCTGGCCCGGAGGAGCTTGGATAGGCATTCTCCACTTGGACACACTGCGTGGAAAGGTGTTTCCGTGCAGGCAGAGCAGAGAGGACACAGGTGTTTCCACACGACACTGTCTCCACCTGCCATCAGCAGGGCTGGAGCGACTAAGAGCAACCAGCGCCCTGTCTACAGTAGCATTGCACCGGCGGGTGAACTGAAGACAGGGGAGAGAGGAGGGAGCAGCAGTAGCCGCGTTTGGCAGGTGCGCCTCTCAGCAGGGACAGGGCCCTCTCAGCAAGAATCACAGACTACACAGCTCCAACAACAGAGTTTATTAATAGGATTGAGCCTCCACCTGCAAATCAAAGCATTTCAAATGCCCGCCACAAGCTGTGTGGGAGTGACTTCCGCACACAAAGGATCAGGTGGGCCTAACCCCACACTGCCCGGCCAGCACCACCGTGAGAGGCTGAGTCAGGAGCTGAGAGTGCAAGGTGGGTTCTTAGTGTCTATGGGGACTTGCTCTCTTGCCCTGGTTCTCCTGGGGAGGGGGGGGTGGAGACCACAATTCTTCAGCCCTGGGGCCTGCCCCGTGCAGAGTGCACAGCAGGTGCCCTGCAGGGTGATGGGGAAGCACTGTCAACGCACATAAATACAGACATACGGTTAACAAAAATAGTATTAGAATATTCACAAGTGAGTAAAACCTACTCTCGGGTATTTACAGCAGAGCACAGGAAATATGTGCAAGGAGCAGGCACCCGCTAGGCTGTCGGGCGTGGACGCTGGACTCCCAGGAGGGGGGGGCGTTTCAAAAGCCAGCTTCACGTTAATGCTTCAGGGAGATGAAATGCCAGACAGGCACTAGCAGGGCCCAGCTCCCCCTCAGCAGCTTGCAGGAGAGAACAGGAGGTGCGAGGCTGCAAGCGGCGCAGACCCCAGCCCTGCCGCAGACCCATCCCCCCATGCGGAGGGAGGGCAGGGCACGTCCCTGTGCTAGGAGCAGGAGATGCCATGCCCTGCGAGGAGGTGAACGCACACTGGAGATGGAATGGCGGCAGGACCAGCATTAGACCAAACGCTGCTGTTACTCAGGCAAGCCCGAAAAACACGGCCGAGACTAGAGCCGGGCAGGTATCTGGCCGAGTGTGCCGCCACTGAGTGAGTGGGGAGCACTCCAGGGGAGTACCCGCCACCCTGGAGCTAGCAGGGGGCCATCAGCTGGCTCGGAATACTCTGGGGGGAGCTGCCCTGCTCACTGCTAGAGCGTGGCCAGACTTGGAACTCAGCGAAGTGGAACCATGAGGAAGGCGGGCGAGGCCCCTTCTCTCCCTTGCCAGCTGGGCTGCCCCTGGCCGTGCTCTGAGCTTCGGCTCTATTCCAGTGGCCAGGCTCCTCCATCTCCTCAGAGATCAGGTTCCTACTTCCCCCCGGCCCAGGGAAGAGGATGCCACAGCTCCCTGCTCCTGCTGGTTCCCTGTGGGGCAGCATTTGCCCCCACCGCAGTCTCGCTTTATTCCCCCCAACCTGCCAACCCGCCCAGCGGTGAGGAAAGACAGATGGACTCTGCGGCTACCCCAGAGGGTGTGCACAGGAAGGGGGCGGGGCAAGCGGTTCCATGACTGCTGGGGCGACCCCACTTAACTCCTGCCAGGCCCTGGGCAGAGCCGTGTTTACCTCTGCCCTTGCTGCAAGCTACTTGGGCAGCAGCCACCGCGGCTCTCCAGAGAGCGACGCTAGTAGAGGCAGGGAGCAATTAGAAGCCAAACGTAAACACCTTCCATGGGACTGCTGCTGACAGACACAGTGTTTTCTCTGTCCGTGACTCCCCCACCTGGCGTTAGCTAGGGGACTCCAAGCACGAAGAGCAAACTCAGGCATGCCTGGTCCCCAGAAGCGGGAAACCGAGTGGCTATTTCCTGCGCTTTGCAGCCCCGGGCCCATGCTTGGAGCAGCCACGTCTAGCGACTGCTGAAGGGAGCAGCTGAGCTGAGGAACGCGGGGTACCTGCTTGGAACGGTGGGGTGGGGTGCTCGGAGCATGTAGGGAAAAGTGGTAGCCTAGGGCAAAAGGGAAGAAGTCAGCACAGTGTAACTCACTGCAGAAATCTACATTCATAGGGAGAGAACAGCATGAGGATCCCGCTGCACCCATGCCTGGGAACACCGAGCTGGGCCTGACGCCTGTCCCAGCAGAGTGCCCTGAGTGGGGCACAGCCAGCGTAGAGACAGGGCCTTCGGCGCTGGAGCCAGACGCAGCGGGAGAGCAGATTCGGGCGCATGACTCTGGGAGGAGTCTCCTGCAGCACAGGGGAAGGATTAGGACCTTCAGGGCTGGGGAGAGACCTACTGTAAACTCTACCCCTTTACTAGACGAAATGGTCTGAGGTCTGCTAAGGGCAAACCTGGGGACCTGGCTGCACCTAACCTTTTCCTACCAGCTCCAGGCGCCGCACACAACAGCCAAGCAATCGCAGCACCAGCTGACCTCACGAACAGACTGCCCAGGTGGGGAAGCTGCATTGATGGTTAACAGCTCTGCCTCCCTGCCACGCCCACAGCTGGACATGCAGGGCATTCCTGGAACACCCCTCCAAGCACTGGGGGCTCTTCCTAGATATGTACAAAGCCTGCAATGACGGTGGGGCTGTGTAGAAAGGGCGGTGCTTGCCCCTAGAGCCTTACGCTAAACACCTCCACACACACACACACACACACACTTGTGTCTCCCCCCTAGCCACCCAGGGGGAGTATGTTTCCACCCACCCATCCCTGCTGTTTGGTGACCTGGGGCACGGGCTGGGGTCCCCAGCAGCCTATGGGGAGCAGCCTGCAGAACAACTGCCTTGGTCTCAGGGCTTTTAAAACCAACAGTAAGAGAAGATTGGGATAAAAGGGAGATGGCGGCACATGGGCCAGAAGAGATCTGTGGGGCAGGAGTCCCCGCCCTTTGAGCCGGGCTGCGGGCACGGGCGCTGCCCCTTGGAATGATCACGTTGCTCTGGAGTATAGCGTGACGGGTTTTTGCCATTTGCTGCGGGCCCAGGGGAGGAGTCAGTGTCCGGTTACTTGCGGCTCAGCAGAGAGCCCAGCAGGAGCACTCCTGCCAGAGTGGCCCCGGTCAGAAGCCACCTGTTGAACTGCTCCTGGCCTTTCCTGCTCTTGGCAGCAGCGTCATTCCCATAGAGATCCACAAAGCGCTCCTGTGGAGAGAGAGAGAGAGAAAGGTTAGGGAGCTGCAGAAGCGTGGGGGAGTAGAGGGGAGGCAGAGCTCACATTTAAACGCCAGACAATGACCAAATGCATGCTCCGTCTTGTGAGCAGGAGAGATGGGAGACGAGGAGATTCCTGAACTGCTGCTCCCCGGGGCACTCATCTAGGTCGGAGTCACAAGCCCTGTTCTCGAGTCAGGTGACTGCCCGAGGTGGGCCCTGCATGAGTTGGTAACAGTGTGAGGGCTCTGCACTGGAAAAGTCTGGCCTAGTCTGTCTAGTCTGCACTAGAAAAGCTTTGCTGGCCTTGATGTGCCAGCAAACCCTCCTGGTACAGACGCAGCTTATACCAACAAAAGACTGTTTGTGCCAGGAAAGCTTATACCGGTTCCCTGAATGAAACCCACAAGGTCATTCCCAAATGACGCCACACACCTCATTCACAGTGACTGGGCCTCCAGGCGCACACACCACGGCACCATTGCAAGTAGCCTCCTACGCTGAGCAGGGCATGAAATGGACTGGGAGATTCCCCCCAGGGGGGGGGGGGGAGGCTGGGCAATGCTGTGTTTCTTGTTCGCTGCTAGGGTGACCAGATAGCAAGTGTGAAAAATCGGGACAAGGGGTGGGGGGATAATAGGAGCCCATATAAAAAAAAGCCCCAAGTATCGGGACTGTCCCTATAAAATCAGGACATCTGGTCACCCTATTTGCTGCCTCGCCACATGCCAGTGACTGCTCCTTCACCCCCACACCTCTCTCTGCGTTGAGGAGAGCAGGTACTGACACAGATGCCTTCGAGCCTTGCTCGGCAGCAGTCAGGAGAACAGCCTCCTGCCCTGCTCTGGAAGAAGCTAGCTGAGCAGCAGCCAAGACACCCAGGAAATTCAGCTCCTTTTTCCTGAAGTTCCCCCACACCTACCCTGGTCACTGCCCTACAAGGCTGCAGAAAAATGCAGAACATGAGGGACTTGTGTGGATTAAAATACCTATTAAGAGTCTCAAGAACTCTGTCAGATTCGGCTGGAAAATCCAGGAGGACAATGTACAGATTCTGAGAACACTCACCAAGGACAAGACAATTGGATCCAATTTGCAGCACTGGGGAAAGAGAACAATGAGTGTGTTCCTGTTGCAGAAGGGTCTTGCAAAACACAGAGGAAGGGCATGTGTGCATCCACTTCCCAAGACACCGAAAATAACTCAAACGCTGAAAAAGAGAACGAGGAGCCTTGGGCAAAGCAACGCAAGCTACTGAAAGGCATCGGATGTGGAAGTTTCCTTTGAGAATCACCCTAATGCCTAGACAAATTGGGCTACCCAGGTTTAAAAAGGAAACAATTTCAGAGACACGCTAACGAACAGAGATCCTGCACCAACAACGTAACAAGGAAGAAAGCGCCTGCTACAAATACATTAGAAGTAAGAGGAAGACCAAGGACAGAGTAGACCCGTTACTCAATGAGGGGGGAAAGACAATAATAGAAAATGTGGAAATGGCAGAGGTGCTTAATGACTTCTTTGTTTTGGTTTTCACCAAGAAGGTTGGTGGTGATTGGACGTCTAAGAGAGTGAATGCCAGTGAAAATAAGGTAGGATCAGAAGAGGCTAAAATAGGAAAAGAACAAGTTAAAAGTTACTTAGACAAGTTAGATGTCTTCAAATCACCAGGGCCTGATGAAACGCATCCTAGAATACTCAAGGACCTGACTGAGGAGATATCTGAGCCATTAGCAAATATCTTTGAAAAGTCATGGAAGACGGGAGACATTCCAGAAGAGTGGAAAAGGGCAAATATGGTGCCCATCTATAAAAAGGGAAATAAGGGGAATTACAGACCAATCAGCTTAACTTCTGAACCCGGAATGATAATAGAGCAAATAATTAAGCTATCAATTTGCAAACATCTAGAAGATAATAAGGTGATAAGTAACAGTCAGCCTGGATTTGTCAAGAACGAATCATGTCATACCAACCTGATAGGTTTCTTTGACAGGGTAACAAGCCATGTGGATGGGGGGAAGTGGTAGATGTGGTATATCTTGACTTTAGTAAGGCTTTTGATATGGTCTCACATGACCTTTGTATAAACAAACTAGGGAAATACAACCTAGATGGGGCTACTATAAGGTGGGTACATAACTGGTTGGAAAACCATTCCCAGAGAGTAGTTATTAGTGGTTCACAGTCATGCTGGAAGGGCATAACGAGTGGGGTCCCGCAGGGATCGATTCTGGGTCCAGTTCAATATCTTCATCAATGATTTAGATAATGGCATAGAGAGAACACTTATAAAGTCTGCAGATGATACCAAGCTGGGAGAGGTTGCAAGTGCTTTGGAGGATAGGATTAAAATTCAAAATGATCTGGACAAACTGGAGAAATGGTCTGAAGTAAAGAGGATGAAATTCAATAAGGACAAATGCAAAGTACTCCACTTAGGAAGGAACAACCAGTTGCACACATACAAAATGGGAAATGACTGCCTAGGAAGGAGTACTGCAGAAAGGGATCGGGGGGTCATAGTGGATCACAAGCTAAATATGAGTCAACAATATAACACTGTTGCAAGAAAAGCAAACATCATTCTGGGATGTATTGGCAGGAGTATTGTAAGCAAGACACAAGAAGAAATTCTTCTGCTCTACTCCGCGCTGATTAGGCCTCAAGTGGAGTACCATGTCCAGTTCTGGGTGCCACATTTCAGGAAGGATGTGGACAAATTGGAGAGAATCCAGAGAAGAGCATCAAAAATGATTCAAGGTCTAGAAAATATGACCTATGAGGGAAGATTGAAAAAACTGGGTTTGTTTAGTCTGGAGAAGAGAAGACTGAGAGGGGACATAACAGTTTTCAAGTACATAAAAGGTTGTTACGAGGAGAAGGGTGATAAATTGTTCTCCTTAACCACTGGGGACAGGACAAGAAATAATGGGCATGAATTACAGCAAGAGAGATTTAGGTTCGCATTAGATGTTAGCAAAAACTTCCTTACTATAAGGATAGTTAAGCACTGGAACACATGACCTAGGGAGGCTGTGGAATCTCCATCACTGGAGCTTTTAAGAGCAGGTCGGACAAACACCTGTCAGGGATGGTCTAGATAAGACCTAGTCCTGCCATGAGTGCAGGGGACTGGACTCGATGACCTCTCGAGGTCCCTTCCAGTCCTATGATTCTATGGGTGCAGACTTTGCCCATTGTCTGCAGAGCCTTTGCTTTCCCATCTTGGCACCAGCAGCTCTCTGGCTGCCGCCACGAGGGACTTGTGCACTTTACATTCACACTTGCCATTTCTGCCAAAGGCTGGCTGGATTGTTAAACCTGTTTAATCTTTACCATATAAAACACGTGTAATGGTTTAATGTAATGGTTTAATGTTTAATGTAATGGTTTAATGTTCCAGGTGAAAGAGGCCAGAACAGCTTCTGAAAGGGAAGCACTGTGTAACTGCACTGTGAATGCTCTCTCTTCAGTGCATGTGTAACCAATACAGTGCTCAGCAGCTGAGCTGCCATCTTACTGTTGGCTCATTTCTGATTTGAGCTCCCCTCCCCGGGAAGGGTGGGGCAGAACTCCCAGTGAGAGATCAAGGGCGGAGCCCTAAACAGCCATCGGGTCAGGTCCCCAGACTGCAGCGTGGGCACATGGAGGCTGCCTAATGGCAGAGAGCCCCGGCCCTTCCGAGGGGCAGGATGGGTCAGCTCCCCCAGGCCTCAGTGACTCCTCCACAGATTGTGCCCCACTAGTGGGGCACGAGGCACTTCAGCTTCCTCCACAGAACAAGCACCAATTGCAGCTACTCCACCCAGCTGCCAGGCCTGGAGGCATTTACCCCTTCCACCAGGCGCACCGCGCCTACCGAGATCAGTGAACTACCCATTACACCCCCCCACCAGCAATATCTTGGGGACCTGCCAGAGGCTGCCTTTGACCAGGGCCCGGTACAGCACTGGCATGGTCCGTACCCAAAAGGAATCAGGAGTTTCTCAGCAGCCGAGTGTGGGGGAGAGGAGAAGAGGCGGAAGATTGGCATCTGTGTTCCTCCAGCAGGCCCTACTTACGTCAGCCTTCTTCAGGCAGGGGCACTGAACGGACACACAAGGCCTGCGCTCCCCACCCTGAACGGTGTGTAAAGAGGACAAAGGGGGAAGCACAGGACCAGTCATGAGAGAAGCGTGTGTCAGGGAGGGGAGAACACCACGAGTGCAGGACAGGAGGCGCACCACGCGCACTGAACTCAGGAAGGTGGGGGGTGGGCAGCAAGGAGACAGCTGAGCTTTGTCTGCTGGGGAGGCTGGACTGGGCAAACCATTCCATGACTGGAGCCCCATTTCCTACAGTTACTCTAAGAACCAACTCCACATGTCTGTTATTGTCTGCTCTGTGCCCACTCCTCTCCTCCCACCCACAGCTAGAGCCCAGTGGGACACACCCGCCCTTCTGGCGGCAAGCTCCACCACAGCCGTGCCCTGCATTCAGCATTATCAAGCTCCAGGAGTATTTCTGGGAAGCTGGGTGTTCTGGGACAACAAGATCCTTGGAGTTTCAGGGCACAGAGCAATCTGAGGCATCTACCAGGAATGCAGCCATTCAGGGCTCTGCCCGGTTCGTCCCAGCCCTGCACCTCCTGCCAACAGATGACAGGTTCCTGCCCCCCATCTGAATGTTGAAATACACGTAGATTTAAAGCGTGCCAGCACCGGAGGCCACTGGAGCCCAACTTCTCCTCCCACGACACAGAGAAGGGACAGGACAGAATCAGAGGGATCGTGTGGGGAGCAGCTGGGAAGGTAGTCAGGGGAGAGGGCAAAAGGCCACACTGGCTTGGATTTGGGGAGACCCTCGCCCCCTAAGGGACAAGCACTCTCACCGTGACCCCACCCACCCAACTGCATCAGTCCTGCACCACGAATGGCAGGATCCACCCTCTTCCCACAGCCCCCGCCCTCCCTCTGCGGGGTCTTGAAGCCCTCCCCTTGCTAGGCCAC